GAGAGATTATATCCAGGCCAGATGGGCTGAAGTTTGCTCTTTCTCTCTCCAGTTCACTGGACAAGTGTTTTACGTTTTCTTCAGCATAACTTAAAATGGACATTGTTTTACCCTGTTCTGGAAAGGAGCTGGTATTTCTACAACTCATGCTGTCATGTAAGTAACCTATTTCTTTTCTGAGCAAGGTCATTACATCATGATGCAGTAATCCGCTGCCTGTGGGATAAAACATCTTCTCTGTCTGTGTCTGTGTCTCTGGCTCTGTCTGCTGCTCTTATCTGTGTTTGTTCCCTCTTAAAGCGTGCATGGGGGGAGAGATGAGGGGAGAGAAAGAGTTCTGATTCTGGCCTGTTAGACTAGTCAATGTTTAGAGAGAATAATGCATGGGCTGTGAGAGGCGAAGGGCTGTTGTCTCAGAGATACTGCTTTGATACTTTATCCACAAAGAGAAGCTCCTGAGTCACAAGTCAGAGGAGCCTGGGGATGAAATTACACCTTTGCCAGGCTCTGACAGGTTAAACTTTACAGAGATGCAGGTAGCAAATTATCCACAGACTGAATAGCAAAGGAGGGATTTTGAATGGGCTTTAAAAACCTGTTGGGGAGATTGAGTGGATAAAAATAGTTAGTACTTGTATCTTTTTTTCAGCTGTAGAGCTAAAAGCAGTCTACGAAGGAAGAACCGTGTCATTCTTTTGGTCTTACCCAGAGGACCGAGCAATAGCGCTACGTGTAGGACAGGTCAGCACGAGAGCCGGCGTCAGGACCCAGCTCTCCTGCTGCCTGACCCACAGCCCAGCCGTTAGACTAAGTTGCCTCCCTGCTTTCTGCAGCTTCTAATTTGTCTTGGAGGTGTCTGTGTACTTTCTCCTGAGTCAGTTTATGCGACAGCATGTCATTCGTGGCCAGCCCGGGGTGTGCCCGATGAAGCATGGTTCATAACTTTTTTCGATTCATTTATAAAGGGATTAAGTAACATGGTTGCCTGGACAGCAGGGACTGTACTCAGTGACCCGGCAGGTCTCCCCCAGGCCTCTGCTCCTGTGTAACCTGAGGTGATGCCATCTAAGCTGCATCGAGATGCCAGTGATGTAATTTCAAACTGTCTGGCCTGAGCGCCAGCAAAGTCAGGCAGGCCGCACACGCGGAAGACGGGATTGGTTCTGATCCTGTCTCTTTTGCACAAATAACAAGTAGAAGATGGGCAGGGCTTGATTCAAAACGAAGCCGGTTATCTGAGCAGAGAAAGCAGAGCAGACATATTAGTGGCTGATTTCATCTTTCACTGCTCTGAGAGGACACAGTCTGCCATGGGTTACTGTGCAGCTCCCTGGTCCCTTGCAGTTTAAAAAGAATAACCAAGTTGAGTCATCAGGTTGTAGTGTCTCAACAGACTTCTTAGGATGATGTCAGACACCCTCATTGTGGGTGGATATTGTAGTGGAGGAGCTATCAAAGAAACAGATCTGGCATCACGTTAAGGCTTCGCTGTTACTGTCATGTCATTCTCTATGGCTGTTCAGAGCATTGCAGGGATGAGCTAGTGTCCTAAAGGCTGGACGTGATAGACTGCTCCCCTGGCTGGCAGCAGGACAGGACTATGACAGACAGCGCTTTACACGGAGAGGCCAGCGGAGAGCGGGGCACGCTGGCGTGGGTACAGGTCCGTGCTCACATGCCTGCCCAGCTAGCAAAACAGCCACGTGCATCGAGTCGCTTGGGGTGCGAGCCGAGGAGCTCGGATCAGGCTGCGGAGACAGCCGTGGCGGAGCAGCCCTTGTTCCAGTCACTAGAGAAACACCAGCAATAGCTACTGTATCCTCATGGTAACATTTCTGCCCTTCGTAATAGTCCCTGATTCATTACATCCCAAAGTCCAGGAGTCCTCTTACAGACACTGCCTTGCTGACGGCATCTTTATGCATGCTTCGGCTGTGCCGCCTCTGTCGATGAAAACAGGCCATATGTATTTTTGTCCAATGCCTGAACGTTTTAATGGGGGAGAGGAGATTTCCAAATTAGATTAATTCATTATGCTCTTTTATCGTTGCCTGTTATTAGAAAAATTCTAGCAAATGAGTTTGCACCGCTTCATTGGCGTTACTGGTTTGCATCTCTGATTCCGGCAGAATCCGTGCAGCGAGATTCCAAAGGGATGACGGCGTCGTAGGAGCAACGCGGGTGCAACACAGCTTCCCAGCTGTTAGTTAGGAGAGCTCCCGCTTCCCCGACAGGCTAAATTGCAGAGCGGCATTGATTTTATTTCTTCATGTAACTTGTGATTTGCTGAGTTATAGCTGACAGCAGCTTTTTCCTGTCCTGAAAGGGTCATTCTGTGTGTGTGTGTGCGCATGCATGCGCATGTGTGTGCAAACTATGGAATCGCAGTTTTAAAAAAAGCCCTCTAAGCATGCTTAGCTGAGTATAATACCTTTTCCTTTGCACTTAGTTTTAAAGCCAAATGTCATAAAAACAACTTCCAAGGCTTTGATGTGGGCTCATAATTTTCTCATTGATGCTATTAATATTGCATGCCCACTTGCTCCATAGTGGGTGTCAGCGCTTGCTAACAGCAGCCATCTGTGAGAATGGAGCTGCTTCCTGGCATGGAGTAAAATTTGGGCCAGCTGCGGCTGCTGGAACCACCTCTTGCAGGCTTCCCCTGTGGGCTCTCCCTTCTCTCTGCTTTGCCTGCGACTCTGCGCTGAGCAGAGTTGCTGGTACCTGTGATCCTGCAGCCTGTCGAGCTGCATTTCTCTGTTACATCTGTCTCTCATGCTCTGAAGGCAAGAAGCTAAAAACCAAGTTTTAGTTGCATCCAGCACACGCCATTGGTGGGTTCCAGGAAGGTGCTATCCCTCAGCTCGTTTCAGTCCTGTGGGCTGCAAAGAAGTTACCAGCAAATGAGACCCTTCCTTTAATTTGGGCAACATTTGAAACTTGGACTCTCCCCCTGCACCCTTGCAGCATAAACCGTCTTCTGTGGGCGTAGTGAACTGAATGAAAATACGATTGCAGCTCTGGCCTGGTAGCTTGGCGAAAGCCAGCTTGCCTTGCTTTTTCTTGTGATGTTGGAAAATTGTGATAACTCTGCTCTTCAGCTTTCGTTCCTGGAAGTCTGAACAGGTTAAAATTGAGGGGGAAGGGAAAAAAGAAAGAACTCCAAGCAGCATCCCAGGTAGGTCCCACACAGGGAGGATATGTGTTTTCCCACATGCTGAATCATTTTTGCAGTCAAATTTGTGCGATTTGAATGGATTTTGAAACCTGTGTCTGAGCTCAGTGATGAGATTACTTTCATCAAAAAATAATCTGCCAGTACTGCTCTCATAGTTTGGGTTAACAGTGTCACTAACGGTTTCGTGCCACACAGCTGTAGTCCCAGAGGACTGTCCTCATGAAAAATACTGGCCTCCAGTTATGCAGTCTGACCTTAAGTTTTCCATTTAATTCACAGGACTGAGGTTTATAAGATAGCTGTGTTTAATATCTGCATCAACTTTCATCTTGATGTAACACCTTTTAAATAACATTTGTTATGGGAACATGCTTTCGTGGTTTTCTGTTGTTTCCCAGCACACGTTCTTTAGTCTTCCTATAGCTCTCTTTCAAATTCCTCCCCCTTTCACAAAATTTCCTTTCTCGGAGTTCTCGGCATAGGCAGTTTGCAGGTGGCTGCAGACACAGTCCAGGCATTCAAGAAGGGGCTTTAGCAGAATGGAAACTTGTTTCTTTGAGAGCAAACAAACCTTTTGCAAAGGCTTAGGAAGTGATTCATCTGCATTTATACAATCTACAGTATCAGCTTGTCAGACTTAAGATCATATGTTGCACTTTATGATGTAATGCCCTCAAATGTGAATCAGATCAAGGCACTGTTTTACAGTTTGCAGCAGCCAAAGTTATATTAGTGATGATGAAAATCACTAAAAGAGAATAATGGTCTACCTAATTAATCATGACTCACATTTGTTATTAGTAGCAGTGAAGGCTCACTTTCTGATAAAGGTCCCAGCTCTCAACTGGGATGAAACTTTTCTGGACTTACACCATTCCCAGCTCAGCAAACAGGCACAGATTTCTGTCTTAATGGCCAGTCACTTGTGAAAGATGTGAACGTTGCGTAGGGATCAGAAGACTGATTAGCTTAGAACTGGGTTTATGCTTTTCTTCCTCAAGCTGCTTTCCCATGGAAATCCGTGAAACTACTAGGTGAAAGGCAGGGAAACTTCCCTCCTCAGATCATCAGAGGTTTGCCCTATCTAATATGAATCCTGTTCCAGACTTAAGGGAATGCAATCCCACATCCGTCACCGGCCCCTGGTGTTTCCTTTGCAAATATCAGCACCACAGCTGAACCACCCCCGTGGCAATATCTGGGCTGTAGAAGCACCAGTAACCTCCTCGTTCGTGGAAGTTGGTTCTTGATATCGAATGTTTTAGCTTTGGCCAGGTACAGAAAGTAATGTGCAGGAATATGTCTAAGTAACTCCTGTTTGGCAGATAGATAGAAGTGTTTGCTCTCCACTTGGATGGTGAGGCACTTGCAACCAGAGCTGGATTCTTGTGGGAGCTGAACAGCACTTTCTGTGTGTACCTGAAGCAGCATAGCAACTCCTGTAGCCCAGTAATTCCTCTGCTGCCTTACTGAATCCCATAATATTATTTGGAAGTGAATAAAAGAAGTTTGGCTTTGACTGGAAAGAAACTTAGGGATAAGATGTTGACAGCGCGGGAATTGTATTTCAGGAAAGCCCAGAGAGTAGATGCAGGCATGGTATTGCTTCAGGGGGAGGCCTTGGATGAAGAGCAAGCAGGCTGTGGGCTGAGGTTTGGTAGTGTTTTGTAGTGGAGTTGGCGTTTTTTTCCAAAGACTGAGATGAGCTATGTTTTGCCAAAGGGAGCTTGGAGGCTCCCTGTCTCATTGGTACATGCTTTTTGTTGTCTCCTTCATAAAATCCTTGATGGAGGAGAGACTTCTTAGGGTGCAAAGTGTGCGTGCCGAGTAAAACGATAAAAGGTGATAGCTGGAAATAGAGCTGAATATTTCTAGGAGAAGCGTAAATTGTATTCTATTTTCCATGCATGCTTTAATGCCATGTCTTAGATTTTCCTTGATAGCATTTCTGTTGATAGCATTTCTAATCAGCAGGTCC